AGTTGTGAACAACATGTGAATGTATCACTTGAAATAACATCTAATTCTATGGGCGAAGTAAAATATTCTATTCTGCATCCAGAAAACGCACCACCACCAATTGAAGTAACTGTAGATGGTAAGTCAATCGTTTTAAGCTCTTTGCAATTGTTAAAACAGTCGTGTGGAATACTTTTTATGCTTTCACACAAAGACACACTTTCAAAAAGTAAAACTTCCCGACGTAACCATGGGCCCAAAATTTCAGTAACATGTGATGGAAAAGAAAAATGTTTCAGTTTAAAAGTATCGATATACTCGATATCATATTGATTGATATATTTGTTTTGGAGAATTAGATTAAACTCTTCTATATTTGGGTTTGGGTCATCAGAATTTTTGGTGATTTGAATGTTCTTGTAAACGTATTTTGAATCATTCAATCTGTTTTTTATGTTGTGATAGTTTGCAGTAAACCACACAACATATTTCTGCATATCGGGGAGTTCTACATCTTTTTCTGTGTATAAATGTTGTGTCTCCATGTACGGAAATAGTCTGTTGGAAGTCACCGAAATTGGGTTGTATTGAAATCTGTCCAATATACATGTAAATTTCTTACAAATGAGGATCGAGTTAATGAAATCGTCTTCAAAATAAAAATATTTTACAACAATTTGGAAGTTAAAAGCATCCAATGTAATATTCATTTCTGGTGTTTAAAGTTTCATTTAAAATTATCAAATAAATAATTCAATTTATAAATAATTAAAAATAAATATCATTCAATAGATTATAAAAAATTTATAAACCTTAATTAAACACAGTTTTTTTTAAAAAAAACACTTTTAAAAATATTGATTGAATTTGGCGCATAAACCATTTAAAATAATTATAGTTAATAAATAATAGATATAATTTAAAATCGATTAATATAATAATTATTATAAATTAAACAAAGATAGCCACAATCAATTTGATGATAAAAAAATTTAAAACGAAATAATTAATAACTTCATTTTAACACTAAAACCATTTCCTCTTTAAAGTGTGTCCTAATATTCTTTTAATTTTTCGGAAATTGACCACTTATATATAAAGTGTTTGATATAGTAAAACAAACTATATTATTAAATTATCAAAATAATCAAATAACCACCAAGTGTCAAGAAAAACAACATTAAAAACAAGCAAATTTTATATTAAAATAATTTGTCGTTGATTTATTACGTGTGTTTTATTTTTCAAAATTATTGGACAGACTTGTTAACACCACTCATTGCATTTATTGTGTTTTACCATAATCAGTATCATTTACATTACAATTTGTGGTACAGATAGCAGAAAAACCAGACTAATTTTAGGTATTAAATATCAAACGGATTTTATACAATAAAACGGGCAAATATATAAATAAATGTGTAATTTTCTTATTATTTAGTCTTAAAAACGTTTATTTTTCGGGATAATAAAATGAATGTGTTGTATAAAGTATGAATAAACAATAACTTAATGTGAGTATAATCGTAAGTTTATTATTAATTGTTATAAAATTATAAAATATTATTCTTTTTTTCAACCTTGTTCAACTTCAACACAACCATTCAATTGAATCGTTCATTCATTATTTCAAAGACACCAAT